CTCGGTATTTATACCGAGTTCCTCAGAATACCGATTTTTGAGGTTTTATACCGATTTATACCGATTTTATTAAATAATAAAAATCATTATTGTCAGCTCACGCTCGAATTTCAGAGAAAATTATTGTAAGAGGCTTGTATCCTTCGAAATTTTTCAAATTTTTGGAGCCAATAAAATTTAAAAAAATCATGTCTTACGGATACTCTTTCGATTAATGTTTCAATTTCCTCACCGTTTTTGGCTACCCATGAATCAATAAACAGTCGATGGCTATTTCTGGTAATTCCGGGGGAATCGGGAAATACGTTTTTAAACATTATTTAACTTCCTGAATTTTCTTCCAATTTACATCGTAAGTTATTTTACGATTCCTCTCGGAAACATATTTCGACTTTCCTTGGAAGTTTCTTCAACCTTCGCTCGAATGATTCTTCCATTCTTCCATCTTTTCCCGCCAGTTTTTTCAACTTTCCCGGAACTTCAGGGATGCTTCCAGATTTTGATTGCGGATCCACACTAGCTGCAGGAACTTTAAAGAAGTTCTGAAACTTCAGAAAAGTCCAGATTGTGGAGTAAGTTTCGATAAATTTAAGAATGTTTCAATAACTTCTCCGGTCCAGCGAACTCCAGTGAACTTAAGGTGTAGGATCTAAACAACCATTGGTTTTGTAACAACCTTAAAGCATGAGAATAAATATTCATTATCAGTTGTACCTCGGACCGAACCAGACGTTTCTACATTTTGGCGACGAGCGATAAAAGTTACCCACGGATTTGGACACTCCACCCCAGAAAATTTTACTCGGACCCCCGTGAGATGGCTTGGCCTATGGTGAGTACTTGTGATAAAGCAGATTTTCGAGAGAGTCTGCAGTGGAAAATTCTAATGTACCAAACCTGAAATCATTTCCGTGGGTAGAAAATTCTTAGGGATGATTTTGCCTGATAAAATTGAATTTCAATTTCTCCCGTAAACCCGGAATTTAACATCCTAAGAAATAGAGGCAGTTCAGGGTATTTTTTTTTTCGGAATGAAAATCCTAATCGCTTAGGGATGATTCTCACTAAAACAATTTTGTTGATGACGTGAGACCCGGTGATTCTGGAAAATTCTAAACAAAATACGCGGAACCCATAGCAACGGGATGAAGTACGCAGTGAAATATGTAAAAAGTATCATTATGTGGAACCCAATGTTTCATGGGATGCAGTACGCAGAAATTCCTAATGTGAAAGAAAGCGGAACCTTTCGTTTGGAATGAAGTACGCAGGAAAATATGAGATATTTTAAGCGGAATCCGACGTTTAAGGATGTAGTACGCAGTAAATCTGAACTTAGAGAATGTTAAATGCGGAACCCAACATTTGGGATGAAGTACGCAGAGTGATACTGTGTATATGTATTTCAGTGCGGAACCTGAGTTTTGTGTAGTACACAGATCACATGAATTTTGAAAAAAAACGTCACAGACGTAGTGTAGCTCGTAAAGTACCTTAAAATGCGTGTTTTCTAGGTAAACCAGTTGATCCCTCCGTTTGCCGAAGATGCCAACGGACCAGTGTCTGCCCGCTGGGAGAAGTGGCGTGAACATTTTGAAGCATACCTAGCATGGAAGGACGTTGACAATCAGGAGGAAAAATTCAAATCCCTGATGATGTTCGGTGGACCAGACATCCGGAAAGTGGTCAAGCAAGTTCATGTTGACGAATCACACGCTATGGAGAACCGGTACCACATTGCCATGTCAATGTTGGACGATTACTTTGTACCGAGACTCTCGAAAACGTTCGAACGTCAGAAGTTTCGCGAGATGAAACCAGCTGTAGGTGAAAAGTTTGACACTTTTGTCATCAGACTGAAAAAGCAGGCAGCCTACTGTGATTTTGGAGATCAGCTGTAAAGCATGGTAGCGACCAAATTATTACAACTACAACGGATGTGAGTCTGAAGAGGAAGTGCCTGGAAAAAGACTTTAACTTCAAGGAGATCGTAGCGATCGGTCGTACCCACGAGTCTGTTCAAATACAGATGAGCGATTTGGACAATCGGAACGGAAACTTACAAAAAGTCAGCGCTGTCGAAACGGAGGCCAATGAAGATTCAATTTTGAAGGTACGCTCCAAACTCGGAGGACCAAGGCGGTTCAGATGTTTCCGATGCAATGGCAGACATGATTCGAAAGATCCATCGTGTCCAGCCAAATCACTCGAATGCAGAAGTTGTGGTCAAGTGGGACACTTTTCTCGCTGCTGTTTTCTAAAAAGGAAGAAGACCAACGGACAACCGTCCCAGTACAATCGTTTCGGAGCTTCCCGTAAACAAAAGCGATTCGTACGAGAAGTATCTGTAGATGGAACCGAGCGCAGAGGTTGAAACTGTTGACGTTTTTTACGACACTCGCTTCGTTGTCATGCGCGACAGTCTGTTTTTATTCGTACTCTCATGCTCTACCGTCGTCTCTCTCACACAACACAACCGGTAGAATAACATTCGAGCAAAAAGAAAATGTTCAAATAACTATCATATGATATGAGTGATTTTGTTCTAATTCCTCAGTTTGGTGTAAATTAAACCATTTCTGATCAGAAATGTTATTCCTAGGACATCATTGCTTGATTTTTTCAGAATTCACACAAGCACAACATCAGCAGCTCTTATAATGAGAGAAACTAAAATACATACATTCGTGACGGTCTTCGGCGACAGTGTCGTATGACAAAGCCTGTCAAATGACATTTGAGTTTGGTACTGTACTATGATAGCTTGTTTTGCAAGTGTCGGAGGCGGTCACGGTAGTCGACACATTTTTTGTGATAATCGACTGCCGTGACCGCTTACAAGACTGACCGAGCGCAACTCAGATGTAGTTGATCTTTTCCATCTAGGAGCAGGAAAGAAGCTGGTTCCAGTATCTGTTGGAGGAGTTTGTTTGAAGTTCGTGATTGGCACAGGAGCAGACGAAGACGTTTTAAGCGAAGCGGATTGGGCTACGTTAAAACGCGTTGGGTTTGAAACATACTCTATCAGGAGAGGAAGCAGCAAAGTATTCAATGCTTATGGGATAAATACACCGTTGAAAGTGCTTGGTGAAGTCGACGCAGAAGCTATGATCGACGGTCGGAGTACCGACACTACGTTCTACGTGATCCAGAATGGGAAATGCTCGCTTCTCTCAGGTGACACAGCAGTCAAACTTGGATTGGTGAAATTTTTGCAAGCAGTGAATGATGAATCGTTCCCATATATGGATGGTATTGTTGCTAATATCAAAATCGATAAAACTGTAACTCCAGTCCGCCAAAGCCTTCGTCGCATACCATTTCCTCTTGAAGAATTGGCCTTGAAAAAACTTCGGGAGCTAGAGAAGCAGGACATCATTGAACGTGTCAATAAAGCTTCTGAATGGGTCTCTCCAATGTTAGTAAAGCGTAAAAGCTTCGATGAGGTCAGACTTATTGTAGATCTCCGGGAGGCTAACAAAGCAATAGTTAGAGAAGTCCATCCCCTTCCAACACTCGAGCAAATAACGAAGAAAATCGGAGGAAATCAAATTTTCACTAAACTTGACATTCGACAAGCTTTCCATCAAGTTCTTCTTCGAGAAGATTGTCGATACATCACCACCTTCATTTCCCCCCTTGGTTTATTCCGTTATAAAAAGCTCATGTTTGGACTTTCTGCTGCTCCTGAGTTGTTTCAAAAAGTTATGGAGACGGTTTTTGCTGATCTTCCATGGCTTATTATTTTCATCGATGACATTCTGATCCCCGCTAGAAACGAATCTGAGCTTCGTGAAAGAACTTTGATGGTGTATAACAAATTGAAGCAGTACAAGATACTACTGAATGCTGACAAAGTTATCACAGGCGCTAGGGAAATAGACTTCTTGGGTTATCACATTTCTACACAAGGAATTTCAATTTCTCAAGAAAAACTGGAAGCTATCGAAAAATTACAAGTCCCCAAGTCCGCAGAAGCAGTTCGAAGTCTGCTTGGTTTGGTTAATTTCGTTCATCGACATGTTCCAAATATGGCAACCATTACACACCCCCTAAATCAGCTCACAAGGAAAGGCATAAACTTCGAATGGAAACCAGTACACCAACAAGCATTCGAGCAAATTAAGATGATTCTACTTAACAAAAATACCCTTGGATTTTATAATGTTGACGATGAAACTTATGTTATTGCCGATGGGAGTCCTGTTGGCCTTGGTGCTGTTTTGGTACAGAAAGGGAAAGATAATCGCAATCGTGTGATCTGTTATGCGTCTAAAACTCTCACTCCGACAGAACAGAAGTATGCGCAGACTGAGCGAGAAGCTTTAGCATTAGTATGGGCTTGTGAAAAGTTTCACTATTATCTTTACGGGAAGTTTTTCCATCTGGTTACGGACCATAAGCCGTTAGTCGTGATTTTTGGAGATCGTCTGAAGCCGTCACCAAGGATTGAACGATGGAAGTTGCGCCTGATGTCCTACGATTTCAAAGTAATGTACCGTCCAGGAAAGAATAACATCGCTGACCCGCTGTCACGACTCTGCCAATCTGTACCAGATAATGGACCTAGCTTTGATGAAGAATCAGAAAGAATCGTACGAATGATAGCTAGTGGTGCTTGCCCGTTGGCAATAGCCCTTCAGGAAATTGTAACTGCCACAAACTCAGATGAAGAACTGCAAGAACTGATTAAATGGTTACCGTACCCTTCTCGACGTTGGCCTAGAACATTAATGCGCTATGCAAAGATGTCGGGATGCTTCACCAGTGATGGACATTTATTGATGAAAGATCAAAGAATTGTAATTCCTCGAATCCTACAAACCCAAATTTTGAAGCTTGCACACGAACCTCACCTTGGAATTGCAGCAATGAAACGTCGACTATGATCTAAAGTATTGTGGACTAGGATGGACTCTATGATAGAGAAATTCGTCCAATCTTGCACAGGATGTACGCTTGTATCAGAACCTGATACACTTCCTATAACAAGAACCGAGATGCCTAACGGACCGTGGAAGAAACTAGCGGTGGATTTCATGGAAATTCCTGGCGGTTACCATTTGCTTGTAGCAACAGACTACTACTCCCGGTACGTTGAAGTTGCTATACTTACTTCAATGACAGCAAAAATAACAGTCACTAAAATGAGGGAAATTTTTGCAAGGTTCGGCTATCCTATTGAAGTTGTTTGCGATAATGGTCAGCCATTTTCTTCAGCAGAATTCTTGAATTTTTGTCAGACAAATGCAATCTCAATCAAGCATACAGTTCCTTATGCAGCTTTGCAAAATGGATTGGTCGAGAGGCAAAACAGAACTTTATTGAAGACCTTGAAAATAAGCTGTACTATGGGACGTAATTGGCGGTATGATCTACAAGATTTTCTTCACTCTTACCGAGCAACACCTCACAGCAAAACAAAGTTTTCACCGTCGGAATTGATGTTTGGGTGGAACATTCGGGATAAAATACCAGGAAACTCAAGACCAGTCAATGAAACTGAAGCAAGAGAAAACGATAGGAAGGCGAAAGAAAAAGGAAGAATGTATGCGGATTCAAAAAGGAGAGCTAAGCAATGCAATATCGATGTTGGAGATTATGTGATTGTGAAAAATTTTGTCAAGAAAAATAAGCTAACAACCACTTTCAACCCCGAACCTCATCTTGTGATACAACGCGACGGATCACGGCTCCACTTGAAGAACATTAAAAGCAGTGTGATCTCCAATCGACACGTGAACCACACCAAACGAATCCTAAATGCGAATCCCATGATGAAACAGGAGAATGACGCAGATAATCATAAAACCTCTGAGGGCACACAAGAAGAAGATGACATGGGACCAGCCATTCCAACTGCTGCTGAACGTACTACGAATCCAACGGAACAACCCTCTACCAGCCAAACTACTACGGAACCTCAGATCTCACAATGCGATGGTCGAAAACGCCCTTTTGAGACTAGCCGAGCTACCAGCAAGCGCTCGAAACATGTACCTAAATACTTAGCAGATTACAAACTTTGAATACATTAAATTTTTAAAATATTAAACGTAAGGAGGGAATGTAGGATCTAAGCAACCATTCGTTTTGTAACAACCTTAAAGCATGAGAATAAATATTCATTATCAGTTGTACCTCGGACCGAACCAGACGTTTCTACATAAGGAAACATCATAAATATTTGGGATACTTCACAATTTCAAAGAACTTCTGGAAAATTTAATGGTTTTCAGAACAGTTCCATTAGTTTCAGGAGAATTGAGAGAACTTTAAGAAGCTCCGAGAACATCAGGTCAGATCAATAAATTTCAAGGAAATCGCTGAAATTCCGAACACTTCAGCAATGTTCCGAGGGGCTCACGCAAATTTAAGAAACGTAAGGGAAGTTACATGAACATAGCACATTGTGAGAACATTTTATGGGAAGTTCCGTGCTTATTAATGGCAGTGTTGATAACTTTAAATAATTATAAAAATCGGGAAGATCAGAGAACTTGAATGCTGATGTTACAATAAATTCAAGAAAATTGTGAGAGCGCTTAAGAAATTTCGTAATCTTCAAGAAAGTCTAGAGACCTTCAAAGTTGATTAGAGATATTCCGGTAATCTCATTATAATCAGGAAAGTTCCAAGAATTTCAAAGATGATCAGAGTACTCCAAAACAGCCCGAGGAAATATGGAATATTCCTAAGTACATTTCAGGAACGTTCCAAAAACTTCAGGGACATTTCTGGCTTCAGACTTCCAGAATTTTTTTCCAATCTACCTTAGGAAGTTTCTTCCGTCTTCTCCAGGAAGTTCAATTAAACTTCTCCCAGAAATTTCTTTCGTCTACTTCTGGAATTTTGTTCAGTTGGTTTTTTTTTTACTTCTATTGGAAGGTTTTTCCGAGCTCCTTGTGGCTTCCCCTGTAAATGGCTACTTCTGGAATTTATTTCCGATTTCCGAAACTTTTCTGCCTTCCTTTGAATGTGAAATCCGAATTTTTTCTGAATGTTTCTTTAAATTTTCGCCAGAAGTTTCTCAATTTATGTCTTGGAAGTTTCGCGGATGATTTTCCGACTTCTCTCAGAACTTTTCCTCAAATTTCCTCCAGCAGAGCTTCTTTCTTCTTTCAATCCAAAAGATAAAAAATTTCGCTTTCAAAAACGGCAAAAATTAAAAATTAATGAAATTAGTAAATACCGATTGATACCGATTTTTTAAAACCTTTGATACCGATAAGCTTTAAAACACTCTGGCAACGCTGACAGGCATTCTCTTTACAACAGCGGCTCTCAATTTTTTCTTGATTGCGACTAGGGTTGTCGGTACCGGACCCTTTTTGCGAGTACAATTCGGTATTAAGAAGCTCATTACCGGTAATACAAGTCGGACTTGATTATCTGGAGGGTTGAAAAAAAAATCAGTTCGGATAATCGAATTACCTGGATAATCGAGCCATTTAATTTATTTTTTTATTTTGCGTTGGCGCTTATCAGAGACAGCTTAATGGGTGATGAAAATTAATTGCCCTTGCTTAAGAGTGCCCAAATTGAACGTTTTATTTTTTTCCTTTTTCTTGATCATGGTCACATAAAGTAATAACTAGAAAACAACTGTAGAACACCAATCTTGGGTCATCTTTTTTGTCAGTGTGCCGATTGTGCCGGTCATAGAGCAAACGTAAAATACCCATCCCGACAACCCAGTATTTCTGACACCTTGAATGTTTTGGTTTGAAATCGCATGCAAAAGTGGGATTGAGGATGACGCGAGAAGTGGCGGGTGTGCAAAAATGTGGTGTTTTGTGTTCATATGATAATAAAAGTCCTGTGTTTTAGGGTTTTATAATGCCCTCAAAGGCAGTTCAGTTTCATGATGTTGAAAAGCAACGGTTTATCAGCGGGGGGGTGGGGAACATTGTTAGATACCGAATATAGAGGATGATGAATATGACTTGTAGTTTATTTTGTGTGAATTGCAGCATTATTTGAATTAAGGGTGCTAATGGGGTCTGATTCACAGCCTTTTTCTCTTGAGCCCACTCTAGAAACTACATTTCGTATTTAGATCTATTAGTGAACCGAGAAATGAACTGCTGGTCTATTCAATTAGAGGATGTTCCTGAATATACAGACAAACAGCACGTAATGTTGTGAACAACTTCAATGACAAATGTTCAGCAGTGCTTCCATTTTATTTACAACAATACAATGCCTACGAGATTGTGCCGAAGGTAAGCCGATGGATGTGCCCAAGCTGTGCCGAAGCACAATGTGCTAAGTGACTTACCCCTTGTGTCGATCTGATATTTGGCGACCAATTTCATCTAACTTTCTTCGACAATGGCTGAAGCCACCCACAACTTTGAGTGGATCCATGAACAGGGAGAGTGGTCCAAGTAGCCTGTATTTCCATCGAGTTAAGCTGACATCACACTGCTTGACGTAACGTCAAATATTTGGTTCATAAGACTTCTCGAACAGTTTATTTGACTTTATTAGGGTTCAAGGAAGTTCATAGGACTCGAAGTTTCCCATGATTAACGGGAAGATTTCCTCAATAATAACTTTCTCCACTTTGAACTGCATGACCCTCTGGTTAAGCATTTTCAGAATACTCTCTTTCGACCAGCAGCAGCATGGTTTTCTCGTTTTACGACGCCAAGATAAAGTCTTTCGTTCTTGGCGTATTGAATTATGGGTAATTTTTCCCACGTCGAATGGTGCAGCATTACTTTCCTTAGCTTTTATCGTTCCGGAGATAAAGCCGCCAACGTGGCGAGTAGTAATGTAGGAGGAACTTTGTTTGACCTTTGTTGGCTCCTATAGCCTCAGGGTAGCCAGTTATCCACGTGCTAAGTGTCGATAGAAAAGATAATTACTCATCGAATGGTATATGAGAAACAAAAATCGGACCACTAGACCCAGATCTATGGTTCACCGCGCAAGACCCTTATTTCAAATCGGCCTTCTCAGAGACCAACTTCGCTCAAAAATATAAAATTTCGTACACTCTACACTCTAATGATAACGTTTCACCACTAGATAACTTTATTTATTTTCGGGATTAAATATCAGCCCTAAAAGGATTTAAATTGTAGTTTGCATTATTTACATGGACAAATGAACATCTCCGGTGAAGAACCTTGTGACATGGCTACTAGAGTGATGAAAAATTTGAAATTTTCGCTCCACAATACTTAAACGATTTCAAATCGGATCCTGACTAACCTCTCAAAATTTGAACCCATTTGGTGAGAAACTGAGATGGCACAAACCATTTGAAGTTTGTATGGGAATTACCATGGTAAAACCAAGATTTTTGTTTATGTCTATCTAATAATTCACCATTCACTTTCAACTGTACTTGTAGGAAATTTTCCCAGCTACAACTTTGCTGAAGACCACTTTTTGATTAAATGCAAGGATCGAAAGTTATCAATGGTTCAATGCGGTGATGTCATATGATCATGCTCAATCAACTGCTCAGCAGGCAACATTGGTGCTTCTGGGGTATTGAATAGGACACAAAAATCATGGCTACTATGTCACACTACAAAATACAGTGTTGCCTACAGAGCAGCTGCTTGATCATGTCATAAGTTTACCAATCTCTTAAATAATTAATAACTTTTTCCTGTCTCGTTTTACATAGAAACAATCTTGAGCAAAGTTGTAGCTGGGAAAATTTTCTATAAGAATGGCTAACGAACTGTTTCGCAGCTCAATATGGAAAAAGACTAGAAGGCAATGAACAAAAAGTTGAGATTTCCCATAGTAATTTACATGTAAACTTCAAATGGCTTGTGCGAAGTCTGTTTCTAACCAAATGAGTTGTAACTTTGGGAGGCTAATCAGGACCCGATTTGAAATCATTTAAGCACTGTGGAGCGAAAAAGTCAAATTTTGCATCAGTCTAATGGCTACTGTGACCATTCCTCAGATCCGGAAATATGTTTGCGAGTTTTCGAAATGACCTACAGGGTGCGTGACGAATTTTTGCAGTAAATTTCAAATAGTAATTTCTCATGCTTGTGCATCATGATTTAGATATATTTGGCAGCACTGGATAGCTTATACTGTTAGGTGTAAGATTTAAAC